CAGGGAGCAAGTGTGTGAGCATGCATGTGCATGCGTGTGTGTGTGTGTGTGTGTGTGTGTGTGTGTGTGTGAGGCAATGTTTGAGGTCATGCTGAGATCAATTGGAGCATTTTTTTATATTATCTGCCCGTAAAAAAAACGAAACCACCGGTGCAGTCAGCCGCATCCATGTATTCTGGTCTGTTTTTCACCCCAGGTTGTGCCACCAGGACTCCAGGATGCAGTCTGTAGAGAGAGAGGTTAAGATTTGGGTCAGTTTTGTTGCTTTAGTTAATCTTATTTTTGATCTCATAAAAGAAATTACTCGTCAAAATGTTTGTGTTTTCTGCACCACTTTGCCGCTGCTGAATACACGCAGTCTGATTTTAATGTGATGAGATCAAAATAATGTGCAACGTAATATAATGTCAAGAAAAAAATATCTTTGTGTTGAGTTCTTCTTATGTAGTCTAATTAAAAAACAAATTATTCATGTTAACCACATCACAAGCTAATGACTTGGTTCTTTTAAAGAATTGATAAAAAAAAATGAATCATTGTTTTATAGATTGACCCATCTTGAATCAGTCTGACAAATGTTTTACTGAATAACATTACTGAATCAATCAGGGGTGATTTCAACGCAGGTTTCGTTGTTACCAACAGAGTTCAATGGAACTTGCGACCATAGTTAGCTAACAATGTTTTTTTGGAAATACACCCCAGGATGATTACTGAATCTGACTCACTTACTGAACAGGAAATTAACATTACTTAAGTGATATAAAACGTTTATGAAACAGGTTTGAGAAATTTCAATGAATATTAATAATTACTGGGTGTTCATAAGACAATGTGCGGCTGTCAGACTCTGTTCCATGTTTTGTCTGTGTCTTGCTCCCCAGGTGTTCCTTTCCCATGTTTAATTTGTCCCAGGTGTTCCCCATGATGGTTTATTGCTCCCAGGTGTGTCTCGTCATCCCCTCCTCCTGTGTGTGTGTATAAAATGTGTTCCCAGTCCCAAGTTCTCGGTCCGCTGTGTACGTCTTCGTGTGAACGTCTTCCTGTGAACGTCTTCCTGTGAACGTCTTCGTGTGAACGTCTTCCTGTGAACGTCTTCCTGTGAACGTCTTCGTGTGAACGTCTTCCTGTGAACGTCTTCCTGTGAACGTCTTCGTGTGAACGTCTGTATAAAAAGTGTTCCCAGTCCCAAGTTCTCTGTCCGCTGTTAAACGTCTTTCTGAGTTCGTCTCCCTTGGTTCCTGAAAATAAAGTCTTGGTAAAAGTATTCTCCAGCGTCTCTTCGTTCCTCGTGTGTGTGCATCGTGACAAAACAGCAGACCAAACAGTAAGCGGCATCCCTTCCCCATGTTTAATTTCCGTGTTTTTTGCAAGTTTTTGTTTCCTGTTTTTTCCCCCCCGTGGCGATGGAAATTGCCGCTCGCGTCTCCGCCCTAGCCTATTATGCTTTTTCACTTTTTTAATTTTAGTCAGTGTGTAGTGTGTATGTTTGGGCATAAAAAAGATCTAGAATGTTACAAATCTCAAAGTCCACTCCAAAGGGAGATATTTCCCTTTTCAAGAACTACAACGAATGGCTCGTTTGGACTACACGGCGCCGCCGGTGTGCCTACACTCATAGAAAATAAAGTATTTGAATTTTAAAGACGTGGCGCAACGCGACGCGACGCTGCGCTTCTCTGTGTGCGACCGCCTGAAACGCTGTTTTTTTTTTTTTCACCTCCGTGCCCAAACGTCTTTGTTTGGGCTTCCGAAAGCGGATGATGTCAGGAAATTTATTTTTTAACTCTGTCCCTGAGCATTATAACCCCAATTTGCTATTGTGTGCTGCGCATTTTACTGATGACAGCTTCCACAACACAAGGGAGTACAGTGCCGGATTCGCCCAAAAGCTTTTGTTGAAAGACGGAGCAAGGGGCGTGGCAGTACTGAAACACCGTCTAAGCTGTTCACCAATCACAACGCACTGGGTCAGCTAACCAATCACAACACATTTTGTTTTTCGGAAGGCGGACCTTCATCAAAGCCGGAACTAATCAAGCCGTTTGTGCCAGGATGGGGAGAAAGGTATTTTAATAATGTAAATTATGTGAAAAATAATGCGTTTTTCGAACCACCAAGCATGAGAGCATGTTCTAGTACACCCCCAAAACAAAATCAAGACTTTGTAAAAGAGCATAATAGGACCCCTTTAAGAGAAGAAAAATATCAAGCATTAATTCAAATAATCCAGTCATAGTATGGTTGTGACCGCCCTGCTTGAGCTGCGAGAACTGAACACAGTTAAATTAACTGATTTGCTAACGGGTATTTTAGCTCACTCAAAATTATTTCAGTCGACTAAAATTATATGCCATTTCAGTCAACGTAAAATGGACTAAAATTAATGATTATAGCTTGACGAAATATTGACTTAAATTACATTTTCATCGAAAGACAAAAAGTATGACAAACAAAATATGGTGCAAAAAATAACACTGACTCACACACTCATTCTTGCACATTCACAAAACTGCATTCAGTGCTGTGGTTGAAATACACACACTCGCACACATCTATTAGTTTTATTCTTTTTCTAAAGAATGCAGACTCTCATAGACACACACATCGATCTCACCCACACACATTCATAACAGCATTATCCAGCATCTTTGCGGAAATTCCTAATCTCTAACAATACCCTGCTATATACGCCGATAGCGACTGCTGTATTTATCAACAATATCGAGAGGAAGGAGTTGCTGAACAGATTCATTACACATATTAAAGTAGTAATGATTATTATAAATATCACATCACTTCATGTGAATGAAGCGCCCCATTTTTCTTCATGCATTTCCATAATCCACCAGTATTTAGAACCTATATGACTCAGTGCACTGTTTTCAACCTGTCTGGGTTTGTCTCATTTCTTAGCACGCTGAATATGAGGAACAAAGCTAATGCCTTTAGATAAGGATGATTAACCTAGAATAAAATCTGCATAGTATATTCTTTTATGGTTTATGACTCTCAGAGTGAGCCTGGTGCCCGGGCGCTCACTTTGTAAAGTGACTAATGGCACATGGAAATTTTGCGATTACATCAGAATAGTCTCCAAGATGTCTGTCTACTGCTCTTGCATGTGACCTCACATATTTCTTATCTTTAAGTGCTGTAAAACTGCACAAGACACTGAATTGTCAGGGAAAAGAATGACAATCAGGCCCGTCTGAGAGATGATCCAGCCGCTTTTAGCCTAATGATTCGCAGAGGACTGAGGCTATTGATCATTTTGGCATAAAGCAAATGCACTGGAAATAATGAATGACAGCAGGTGTTCATATTTTTGTAATTGATTGCCCCATAATTGGACAAATTATTGAGCTCTGATGAAATACAAGATTGAGGGTGACGTTTTTGCAGAAAGTGACTGCATCACAGGGAACAAAGAGTTATTTTTGAATGTGAAGCACAGGTGCAGCACTTCTGGATCGATATAGCCCAGCGTGGTAATTTCTAAGTACCAAAGTCAGTCATGTCGGTGTCTACACACTTTTGAAGTTATTATGTTCACTCTTATCTGGTTAATGGATAATTGTTTTTGTTTTTCCATCTGGCTTATGCAGTCTTTTTTCTGTCTTCTCTAATCCTGCAGATCTCTCTGAGGGCATCTGGCATCATGGACAGCAAACTGGATCAATGAGCCAGAGTTCCCTCTCATCCTGAGCTGTCAGTTCAGACGGTTCTGCAAACATCTGAGAATATCGTCTTGTCAACAAAACGAGGCTGTTGATCCTACATTAACAAGAAGAGGTTCCCAGTAAGAGATATCTTCAGCCTCGCACTTTTCTGCACACCGTTCTGCCGTTTACAGCCATGATATCAAAATTCTTACGGAATTGTTCATCGTTGGTCCTGCTTTTCCCTCTTCTCCAACTGCTGCGGCTGGACATGCTCAACGCTGCCCCCTCTGGTCCGGAGTCTGACACCTGCTCCACACTGGTCCAGAGCCGCTTCTTTGGATTCTTCCTCTCATCCTCGGTATTTCCCAGCACGCCCTGCTCCTGGACCCTGCAGAACCCCGACCCAAGGCGCTACACCATCTTCATCAAGGTCACAAAACCAACCAGAGACTGCATTCCCCGACAGCACCGGACCTTCCAGTTTGACTCCTTCTTGGAGACGACACGAACCTTCCTCGGGATGGAGAGCTTCGATGAGGTGGTGAAGCTGTGTGATGCCTCTACCCATGTTGCCTTCCTGGAAGCTGGGAAACAATTCCTGCAGATCCGGAAAGGGCTGCCCAGAGCGGGAGCCGGGCCCAGGAATGGCGATGGGGAATTTAAGGTGGAGTATCTTGTGGTTGGGAAGCGTAACCCCAGCATGGCTGCCTGTCAAATGCTGTGCCAATGGTTGGAGGACTGCCTGACCTACAGTACCTCCAGCCGGCCCTGTGGCATCATGCAGACACCATGCCAATGTTGGGACCAGCCCCCACCGGACAAAGAAACCAGTGGATGCTACCGGGACGGAGTCTACTTGGAGAACTGCATCCCTGTTGTGAAAGAAGGAACAGCTGACACTGACACTAGCGGTAAGCTAACAGTTTGTCTAGTTATAACTCAGCATGGTTATTGAATTAAAAAAATGTGTTCTCTGTTCCCACTGTGGGTTTGGTAGCTTGTCTTATTTAGTAGCAAAGCAACAGAACAATCGAAGCTGAAGAAACAAGAGTTCAGAGAGAACTGATGGAGGTTAAAAAAAACAACAACGTTTTAGGTTTCAGCTGATGTGTCCTAGCTGGGTGACCTTGACTTCTTGGCGCCATGTGTGATCCTGTGAGGGTTCAGATAGGGATATCGGATCGGCCCGTGGGAGAGTTAATGCGGCAGACATGCTCTGGGAGTGGCACGGGATAGCGGTGGTGATGCGCTTGGAGATTGATTATTAGGAAGGGAATGGGGCCGGTTACTGAGTTCAGAGCTATGATGTGATCTCTTCTCCAAGAGTGGTTGTGGCACAGAAACTCAAACCCTAGGAGAGGCTGCAGCCATTGGACTGGAAGATCACTCACCCCATTGCACTGTGTGACCTTTCTGTGGACTTTCTGTTCCTTCTTCTCTTTTATGCATTACTTTTTTCTGCTTGTTAAAAAACACAAAGGGGTGACGGATCTCCACAACTCACAGTGTTCAAAACTATCTGTAAAAGAGCACTAAAGGTGTGTAATTAATCATATGTGTGATTGTTATACAGCTGAACCAAGTGATAAGGGGGCCGTTTTCACAGAATATGTTCTTGCCTCCAAAAACAGCTAAAAATGGAGAATAATTTATTATAATAATTTAGCATATTTTGGGTATAATGTACATTTTGCTTACAAATTCGTATAGAACATGTAAGCAAAATTTGAAATATTATAGAATATATAGAAGGAACCTTCTAACTAGAAATTAGTTCTATTTTTTTAGTTGCCGTCAACATTTTCACTGGCCTCACAACAAATTTCTAAAGGATCATGTGACACTGAAGCCTGAAGTAATGGCTCTTGAAAATTCAGCTTTGCCATCACATGAATAAATGACATTTTAAAATACCTTTTATTAGAAAAGACTTATATTTAAACTGTAACAATATTTAACAATATTACTATTTTTGCTGTGTTCTTCATAAAGTAAATGCAGCTTAGATGAGCATACGAGACTTGTTTCAAAAAACATTAAATAAACCTTATGGGCCCAATACTTTTGAATGGTAGTGTATATATTTGCTAGAAATACTTTATATATTTATCATTAAATTAGGTGTTCAAATTACACAGTTATAATGTAACTCCATACTTTCATAAATCATACTTTTTAAAATTATGGCATCCAATGGAAAGCATTGCTGATTGGTTTATAGTTTTCAACAAAACATTGTAAATTATGCTTCCAAGATCACAAATTATTTTCGCAAATTCAACAAAACATCATCTATGTCAACCAGCTACTGTATATAATATATGTTGCTGATGAATCAGCACAATTTACATTGTAGACAATGTATACATAAAAGAAAACCAAACATTTAAGTTTACAAGGCATAAAAAAATGAACACGATCAATTAATATAAAATGTTCAGCAGCCAGTGGCCCATCCTTAAAGGGATAGTTCACCCAAAAATGAATTTTCACCTGGGTGGAACCGGAGTTTTTGAAAATCTTCATCCTGGCAGGCGTTTTCAAAAATGTTCGGTTTCAGTGACATGGTGCTGCGTTTGCTTGTGGACGAATGGCCAGACCGCGTAGAAAAAGCTACGGTTTTAAAAATAACCGCGTTCGTGTGGACAGGGCCTCGTTTAAGCTCTGTTTTGTTCCTGAATTGGCTGTCCGCTATTGATTTGGGTTTGTTGCTGAATGTTGGATTTACTCCTGGATTCATGATTAAATACCCTGTTGACTCTGTTCCTTCGTCGAGTGCTTCCTCCTTAGCCAGCTCACACGTTACACACATTATGTAAACAAAAACTTTTATTTTGGATGCGATTAATCGCGATTAATTGTTTGACAGCACTAATATAGTTAAAATCTATTAACCTGACATATCGAGACTTACTGATATAAAAATTATAATGAAACTTTATTTTGAGTACTACTTGTGCACAATACACATTTCATAATAGTAAGCGTAAAATGTGTTTTAATGTCACTACTGACGAGGACTGTGTGATCTTTGAATAATATTGGTCTTTAAATGTAAGATATTTAAAGTGTACCTGAAGAATACTTTAGCACAATCAAATATACTTCAGTATATCTTTAGTTGGACTTCAGCACTATTTCCGCACAATTAAAGCACATTAAGTACAAAAATAGTTGTTCCAATTTAGCACACCAAAAGTACAATTGCAGGGTATTTTTATTAAGCACAAATATGGAAATGCATTTGTAGTATACTTAGCATGAAACAACTGTATTTCAAATACATTTTAGTATGTTTATTTTTCACTAGGGGTGAGGTTTATCTGTCAATCAGATGCATATGAAAGTTGTAAAATCAAAACTACGCCCCTGGATTCAGACACACATTTTAGTATGTTTTAGACACTGAAATGTCAAAAACACTGAAAAGCATATAAAACCTAAATATTTTACATGCATGTACAAATATTTTTGAATCCTTTTAGGCTAATTTATTACTGAAAAAAAAGTATATTTTATTGCATTTAATCAATGATATGAATTAAATACGTTCCACATTTCAAGCGTGCATCACTTTACTCAATCCTAAACCTTACAGAATTAAAATGAAAGAAAATTCTGTCAAAACCATTATTTAATCATTTATGTATGTGTGAGAGAGACTTTTATGATTGTGTGTGTGTTCATTTAAATCACTGTTCAATGTAGATGCATGGAAAAGATTATCCTTCAAAATGAATCCTTTTGGGTTTCACAGATGAAAGAAACTCGAAACAATGAGGGAGTAAATTAAGTCAAACTAATCATGTATAAGTGTACAGATACAGATGCTGCAGTGTCGTGAACTTCATTAGAGGACTCTAGCTGTCTAAAAGGTTCAAAAAAGGACACCCATAGCTGTCATATTAGGTCATTAATATATTGTCTTAAATTCCACTGTAACACAGTGGAGATGATGTATCACACACAAAAAGTGCGGTCTGGTACATTTGCTTTATCCTCAAAGCTGAGCATATATGACACGCACTCTACGATAGATCAAAGAGGATATATATCTCTCTCGCTTGCTGTTAGAGCCAGATGCTTGTAAGGATGGAGGGAAATGGATCTTACACGAAAGCCTTATTAAGCAACACATCACAGATCTGCTCTCTCTTAGAGTCTCCGAGGTTTCTCCCAATTCTCCACTGCAGGTGTTCCTGTCGGCACAGAGCCCAGAACCCAAGCGTTTACCTACAGGTCCTTCCGGACAAAGACCTATAAGCTGTGATGTTCCTTGACTCAGGTCCATAGAAATATCTGGGCACTCCTTTATCCCTTGGACCAAGAAGGAGTGTCATTGCCCAGTTGATCTCCAATTTGGAAAATTTGCAACCATGGGTCTTATTACCGCATCGGTGCGGCCAGCATGTGGATGTTTTTGTCTTTTGGGAGAGGGGGGAGTGTTTTGGATTGATGACCGTCCACGCACAACTTAAACCAGATCTTCCCTATCCACACAAATTTCCTCGCCTGCAGAGCGATGGGAGCTGGGCCTGTTGTTTTTTCTCATTGCATGGTAACTTATCTTTGCTGTAGTGTTCACAGTAGCCACAGCTGTTTGACTTGGACCCGGCCGGCAGGTTAAATGAACAGGGTTCAGAATAAGTGAAGATGTATCAGGTTCCCCTGCGCCGGTCTGATGCGAGGAAACGCAGGGTGGACCGACCTTTCATCACTGTGCGTGGGATCTCTGCCACACGATGACTGATTCAACGCTCTGATCCAAACTCTGAAGACTGACCTTAAATAACCTTTGACTGCATCATAAATCATAGTAATGGACTGAAAACTGCCAACTGTTTTGATGCTTATAGCATATGAATGGTGAAACAATGTTGAATGTAAAATGTTAGTATTTTTAATAATTGTAAAATGAGAGCAATAAAAATGGCTGATTTTATTTTTCCACACCTATGAACGATAGTCCACAACTACATGATGTAGGCTACTATTTATATTTCCAGTGCAACTCATGATGGAAAATAGGCTTAAAGAATGAACTAGTTAAAAGTGAATTGTGTCATTTCTGCAAATTTCTGCAAATTATTTCAAACAGGTTGTCATGTTTTGAACATGATTTGACAGTGCCACAGTGTTTTCCATCAGTTCATCAATGCCAACTCATTTATAGCTGTCTATGAATAATTTGGTAATACTTTACAATAATGTTCCCTTTGTTTACTTTGATTGACTATGTTACTAAAGACGAACTAACAATGAAATATACTTCTAAAGCATTTAGCAATCTTAATGTTAATACCATCATTTACTAGTACATTATAAAAATCAAAAGTTGTATCTGTTGATATTATTTAATGGAGTTAACATGAACTAACAATAAACAGATGTATTTTTTATTAACTAACATTAACAAAGATTAATCATTATTATAAGCACTGTATTCTTTATTGTTAGTTCATGTTAACTCCAGTCCATTAAATAATATCAACAGATACAACTTTAGATTTTTATAATGTACTAGTAAATGATGGTATTAACATTAAAGGGGTCATCGGATGCAAAATTCACTTTTGTTTTTGTTTGAAAATAAATGTGTGTTGGAAGTGTATGTACACATCCACCCTATAATGATAAAAATCCACCCAGTGTTTGTTTTTTTTAAAATCCCCATTTTAAAACCCCCTTTCTCAAATCATGCTGTTCTGAGATTCCTGTCAGAATGACGTAGTTCTGCACAGGCCTCTCCCACGATAGTTGATTGACAAGTCCGTCTTACCCTAAGACCCGCCCTGAGTGAGCTGAGAGCTGTCCGCCCTTGTGTCGACTCCGGTACAGGGGAAGACAAGAATGTCTCCGATTAAGCGATTGAGGTGTTTTGTTGTTGGATGTAATAATGAACATAGCAGTC